ATGGCATGAAATATTTTTAGTTCAACAAAACTATCACTGATAAAGAAGGCTCACTATATTTATTCATATCTCATTGTAGGTATTAAATTTGTTTTTATTGGTATATACACATTTTAATTTTTATATTGCTGTAATCTATACAATATCAAATAATACCTATGCTAGCATTTATGAAAACTGTACATGTATATGTAATAATAATGTTATTGGAGCCCGTATTTTATTAAGCATGTGTTACCCATGGAAACCTATTCTGTCCTTTAGGTCAAGTTTGGATTTCTTCGGTTCTCTATTACGATCCATTATTTCTTATTGTTATAATTATGTATTCCTTTATTTAATTATCAGATTCTTTCATATTTTATATTGAACCATTTCTTATAAAATAAAAATATAAATAATACCGAAGATTACAATGAGGAATGGTTAATTATTTAAAATAAAAAACATTAAAGCTACATTAGAGAAAGAAATTTCGGAAATTAGATATTTAAGCCTTATTAAAGAACATCAATGAGTATAAGACCTTTATTATATTAAAATCCACTTAATTTTACATCTACATAATGAATTTATCAAAATTGTTAGAACCGTTTTTAAAATTGTAAAATGGCACTTCCAGTTAGCCAATTTTCAGAAAAAAGTTGCTGTAACATCGCAGGCATATTTTGAATATGTAATATCAGTTTCATACAATTTTTCGTTTTTGAGCTAGGCTGTTCATTCACACATACCGATTTCATACCTAGGTAAGTGAAAGGAAAAATAGGTTTATAGTTATGTAAAAACTTGAATTAATAGAGCGCCTGGAAGGTATGGTGGGGCTGGCAGTATAGCCTGAGTCCACTGTAGCATGACATTTACAGCTTCCAAATACAATGCTATCAAACATCTCTTATCCCTGTCTTTATAAACGTGCATTTATTAAAGCTAATAAAATACATTTTAAGCTAAATATTTTTATTCATAGACAACAGTATGCGCTCTCATTTTAGCCCTATCCCAACTACTTTTCTTAAATGCTGATTATCATTGTAAATATGCATAATGGAAATTCAGGGATTTATTTATTGATATACAACTTTATTTATATATTTTGATCATAATAATGACAAAAGGCTTAACGAACGCAAAGGTTCGATGCTGACACCAAGTATCACTGTCTACACATCCTCCACCGGTTGCCGTCCAAACCCAGAACAGCCTTAACGCAATTTTTCCACCTTCACTACTGTCTACCCCTCAGATGATTACCAGTCTGCACAGCACATATTAACCTCTTAGGAATTGTTTCGTTACTAAGTCCAACAATTTTACAAGCTTATCTTATATAACACTATGTAATCACCTCGATCATATTAACCAGATACAGATCGCTACGATCCGGTGTTGTATAACCATCTAATTTTTCCGGTTAACTCGTGCTTCTTCAGTCAGAATATTCTACGCAACACTTTATTATCAAAAACCTTAAGACATTACTCATCACTTAATACAAGTTTATTGATATATTGCAATAAGTAATTTTATTTTGGTTATTCATTCTTTTCAGTAAAGTTCTTATTGATTTTTTTATATTAATCAAAAAATATATGCAGAAATAAAAATACTGTTATATTTCCTTACTTATTTTATTAATTTATGCTTTTCAACACCAATTGCAGTAAGTAGTTCTTTTTGAAGTAAAAACTTTTTTAGGCACGTGTGGGTATTGAATGAGATTAAGCATTCACAACCGTCTATGTAATTCTCTTTCGTGTAAATTCAGCTCAAGGAAACTATTTTTTGCATTATATCAAAATATATCAGAAACTAAAAATCGGACCTGCATACTGTGAGTTACGGAAATTTTTAACATTTCATCCTCTTTTTAATGAGCCATAATTCAAAATTGTATTTTGAAGTGACGCTGAGTTAGATAGTCAGAAAGAGAAAAACATAGTGTCAAAATACTTGATAATAATGACTGCTTTGAACATTTAGACTAAAATATCTCAAAATTTAAATTCTGTTGATAATTCAGAAACCATTTTGCAGAAATCAGTATAGATATTTTTTTAATTAGCCATAAAAATAAGAAATCAAATGTTTCTATTCAATGTTCTGTTGCCCTGGATAGTATTTCGACAAATTACTGACCCCGTTACAGAAGTTTTATTAAAAATAAAGTACCAATACTGCATAATTGTCTCGTACTATTGACGTCTCAGTATATGAACCGTTTATTTTGAAAATGGTGTAAGTCCATTTTATCTTTTTTCGAGATAATTAAAGATTAGTATATCTGTCGATTAAAAATTCAGCTTAATTATATCAAGTCTGGCAATGTTTCTACTGATTTATCAATATGTAATTTGATTATATTAATTTGTTTAAGGCAAATTTAACTAAAATGATGTATATTTACTGACTGCAAATGGGATTAACCTCTTCAAAATTACTCAATTGTAAAAATCGTTTAATTTCAATTTTGAAAAATCAAATATCACTTAAAATATATTTCATATTAATCCAATTTTGCTTACAAATAACAAGATAAAAAAATAGAAGTAGTATTTTTCATTTTAAACGTTAATTATATTGATAAAATTAACATAAGTTATTGGTAATAATTATTTACACTCTTTATTTGGAAGTATATAGGGGAATAACTGATTCATATCTTTATATTTATATAGTAATAGGCCTGGTAGCGTGATACATAGGTGCCAGGGCGGTCTTCCCAGACGTGTAGGTACCAAATTTAAATTCTTAAATTTGTTGTTCACCATTGATGTTTTATATAAAATAGTACATGGTGCACTTTTGAGAAACTTCATGCAACATATTTGGAACCAATTTATCTTTTCTCCATTAGCGTTTCTTGTCTATTTTTTTATTTGGTTTTGAAGGCGTTTTGTAGAAACAAAATTCTCCCCTATCATTTAATGTAAAATGAATTTATTACTTTGTCTACATTGTTTTATTACATCATAATAATCCTGTGGTGTGTACAGGAAATTCTTTTTTCGTAATGCCATTTCTATGATGCCAAAATCAATATTGTTTGGAAGGTATGAATGTCCGGAGAGTAATATTAGTGATCAACTATCTTAATGATATTTTTCAAAACTGGACAACCCTCAACCACACCAATGCCATTTGTAAATTTCAATTTTTCCCTGTACACATACACTATATGTAATAACATGACATTGAATCATTACATTTTGTAAATGTCTCAAACAGCAAGAAGCTACTTCTTACAATCCTCTGGAAATGGTAGTTTCGTCCCAAACATTATGGACGAAACTATTGTTAATGGAAATTGGACTTACACCACTTTCATAATCGATGGTTACGCAATTTCTTTTACAACCAATTTTAAATTGGAAAAAGCATGAGAATTTTTTAAGATATTAAATACTAACTAGTTGTAAATAAAAAGTTTACACATAAATTATGTGATATCTCATTTTTTTTTTTTTTTAAAGATGGACTTACACCACTTTCGAAATTAATGGTCCATATACGACTATGAATGTTTATACACAGTTGTAATTATAAATGTTGTAAATGTTATTACTTTGTGAATATAGAACAAAAAATAGTTAATACACAATTATAATTGTTTATATCGCAGATGTTATTACTTTGTGAATATAGAACAAAAAATAGTTAATACACAATTATAATTGTTTATATTGCAAATGTTATTAATTTGTGAGTATAGAACAACTGGTTAATACACCATTATAATTGTATATATACTGTAAATGTTATTATTTTGTGAATATGAAAAAAAAAGTTTTTTTTTTTATATTAAAGTATTTACATTATTAATACTGCCTTGTTAATGTTTTCACTTTATCATGTGGTCTTAAGTATACACCGTAGTTTTACTTTCACTTACCTATATATGCAATATATAGTAGGGATAAGTATTGCGATTGTGAACATTTTTAACGGAAATACGTGTTTTAAGGTCTCCTGTGTCCAAATAACCAAGTTCTGTAAAATGGTCTGTGTGTATGTATGTTATCAATCTAGCTCGAAAACGAAAAGTTATATGAAAGTGTAATTGTATATTTAAGGTTTTTATAAGCTTTCAATGTTGTAGCAACATTTTCGTCAAAATCGGCAAACCGGAAGTAGTACTTTATATAATTGATTTAACACATTTTTACGATTTTCTTAAAAACGGCTCTAACAATTTTCATTAAAGTCAGTATATAAGTGTATTAATAAGCAGTTTTTAATATGATGTAGTTTTTATTCTCATTGATGTTTTTTATGAGGACTTAAATGGCTAATTTCCAATGTTGACTAATATCCTCTAAAGTACCTTTATTTTTTTAATTTGAAATATTTAACCATTTCACATTAATCTTTGATATAAATAAATAGTTAAGTATAAAATATGAAAGAATTTGTTTATTAACTAAAGAAGAAATAAGAGATTGTTAAGAATAATAGTTGTAATAGAGGAATCAAAAGGAATATGAGCTCGCCCTAAAGATTACAACAGGCTTCCATAAGTTACATGAGCTTCCTATAATACGGACTCCGACAATATTATGTTCATATACACATGCCGTTTTCATAAATGCTATCGTTGTTATTATTTAATATTTAATTGTATAGAATACAAAGATATAAAAATTAAAATTTGTATATATAATAGTATTTAAACAAATAAAAATACCCACAATGAATTGTAAATAAATATAGGTCAATAATTTTTTACTTCCATCTCTCCTTTGTCTGAAAATACTTATTTCTGCTAAAAAGAGGGTGGTAAACGAAAGTCCTGTAATGCGCACACCAGATTTTTTTGTCTTATTTTCTATAGTATGTATCGTTATTATTCATGTATCACTTATGTATCATGCACGAGTATTATTTCAGTTTTTTTTTGTTTTTGTTTTTCTTGGGTGCTTTTCTACATTAATGTTAATATAATTATAGGTTAATGGAATGTAATGTTTATTACCTTAAAATATGCTAAATTGAAATTTCAGAGTGCTGCAATATTGGTTAGTGCTCAAAACTCCTCTAGTTTAGGCTGTGCTATATTAGCAACAGCTACTGGGAGAAAAGATTTTGACCGACATGGTAGAAAAGCTGATTCCGTAAGTATTATTATAAATACAAAATAAAAACTCAAATAATCAAATTGAAAAATTAAGTGACCTAAGGAATTATTATTTACAAACTATAATTATTTTTTTATGGCTTATAGAAAATATATAGTTGTTGTTTTTTATTGCATAATTTTTAGGGGGAGGAATCTGACTTTTATGTTGTCTACATGAACTGACTGGCACTCAGATTTCATTTTTCTTAAAAGAAATATTTATATCATTAGTAAATAGTTATTCTATTTATTAGGAACTAGATTTATGATTTTTTGTTTCATTAATGCTTTATAAAATTAATAATACTATGTCTCTAGGACAAAGAAGATAGAAATAGAAGGCGTAGACGAGGTTCATCTGCAACCCCTGAAAGAAACCGTAGATCACGTTCCAGGTCATTTGATAGACGTAGATCAAGATCACGTGAGAGGGATCGTGCACGAGCTTGGAGAAATAAAAGTCCACCTTCCAGGGGAAGATATGATCGTGATAGACGGTAACTATAAATTTTTTATTTCCTCTCTTACCTACTAAGTTGGTTAGAGTTAATGTCTATTGTCCCCCAAACCTGGAGGGCCAGTGACTGACTGTGGTACAATGACCGGACAGTGGTATCACCACTTTGCTATGCCAATAAATCAAATAGCATCTCCAAAGAGTGATGTTATCCATTAGGCTCTCTAAATCACTATTTGCAAGATATGGGATTTGCAAACAAATTGTTTGTGGCAATGGAAGCCAATTTCTTCCATGCTTCAAAGGAATTCAAGACCTTTTTACGCGACAATGGATTGAAACAAATATTCACAACCACTTATCACAGTCGATCGAATAGGATGGTGAAATGTGCAATTATAACATTAAAACAATGATTACGAAACGATACTGCTTACACAGATAAGCAAGAAAGATTGTGATTGACACTGAAGAAAAACGATGGGGCAGAAGGTTGCATACTCTAATGGATTGTTTAAAACCATCTGTGAGAGATAAGATGGATGAAAGCAGGCTGAAACAAAAAAAATGTTCCATGATAGAAAGGGACAAGAACAGAGTTTAGAAGAAAGTGAGCAAGTTTGAATAAAGTGTAACGGCAAGGAAGATGAGTAAAAGGCAACATGATTAGAAAAAATGGATTTCTCTCTTATAACATAGAAACAAGCAGGAAGCTAATATGATGTCATGCTGATCACTCAAGGAAGAGATTGGAAAGAAGGGGGAGGGCAATAGTGTAATATGGATTCTTGTTGAGGTAGTTAGATTTTAATTAAAAACATGTGATGTTTGTACATTGTTAAAAATTTGTAGATGATACATTTGGAACTTACTCAACCTTTCTTTTTATATATACACAATCATTACAAAGCTAGTAATTAAGAAAAACTTCTAATCGTTTTTTTAGGCACGTGTATATCTTTAGTTTTAATTTGTTTACATATGTTGGGTTTATTTCATTTGTGTTACACACAAAGGCCTAAATCCTTCTCAAATATTTTATGTAGAAAATTTTAATTTTTTGATTGTTGTATAAATTCATATTTAAGGGTTTTTGGAAGTGAAAAAAACTAATATCAGCTTTGTTTCTCCCTAAAAAATTATTTACTCTAGATATCAGACAGGTTCTTAATAAATATTATATTTGGCAGATAGCTACAGTAAACAATTTGGACCTACCGACATAGCAATGTGGGAGTAAATATTTTTTTATATATTTATAAAAAATAAATAAATAAATTTTTATGGCATTGGGAAAATTAAAATTTTCTCCATGAAATTTTTTCATAGGCTGGACGATTTGAAATTTCGTGAACAACCACAAAACTTTTGATAACTTTAGAATGGCTTCAATGATCCACAAAAAAATTAATGGAGGTTCAGGCCTCTGTAGGCTATACAGAATCGGTATAAACCCGATCTCCGTAATCAAATTAATAACATCACATAAATTTTGTTTAAATCATATTTTTAAAAAATGTTCTCGGTTCCTAGGGCCCATTTGAAAGAACGCTAGAATATATTTTCAATATTTTTTGATTTAGTATCACCAAAAAAAAATTGGTTGAAATCGGTGATCCAGACTGTAACCTCGCCTTGTCAGTGGTGCGAAATAGCACCTTTGGAAAGTTTACTTGGGAATATATTTACAGATGCAGATAATATAAAAAATATTTGCTCACTGCAACAGAGTTTCATTGAATATTGGTGGAATATATGCTTTTCACTACATCTTCATTTTGAATAAATCACTAGTTCCAGGAGCGATGAAATGACTTATATCTGAAGTGGGATAGAAATCAACTTCATTAATCAATCACTTTAGATTAAATAAAAATGAAAGCCAATCTACACTTATCATTTTAAATGATTCTTCAAAGAAGAACATCTAAAGTGGTAAGAATAAATGAGTTTGAGAGCTGGAAAAAGTATCTAAATCAGAAGTAAAACTATTTATTAATTTTAAATCTATATAATAGTATTAATAACATGAAATAGGTTAGTAGAAAATGTTCATTCATTATTTAAATTCATTTTAATATTATTTTATTTAATGGAATTTGTTTTCAGTCACACTCACTCTAAGTCACCTGTAAGGAGGTATTCAAAATCACGATCTCCTGTTGGAAATAGAAGAACTAGGTACAGGAATAGATCACCTCCACGTTCCAGATCTAGGTCTCGAAGTCCAGTGTCCATCAAATACCCTTCAATAGGTATATTTTTTAAGTTTACTTATTATATATATATATTTTAGTACTGAGCCCGTTCCATATTAAATCACTCAATGGAAGATATATATATATATATATATATATATATATATACTTGATGAAACATTATTGTATTGGTATTGTTACTTTAAATAGATCGTATTTTTCCTTTAAAAAATGCGCTCATACATGTGCACTGTTTAGAATGAAGATGATTGGTGGGGAGTGGAGTAGCATTTTTTTTATCTATTTATAATCCACAAGATTTTTTTCTCCCCTACATTTTGGAACCTCCATCTGAATTCTTTAATTTAAACAAGCTTAAATTTAGTATTTAGAGTTGTTTTTTAGTTAAAAACTATGTCAAAAGTTTTCATAGATTTTTTATTCTTCTACAGTTCTTCTATATAAAATTAGAGGGTTGAAATTTTTTAGGTGAATTGAGGTGGTGGTAGAGAATTGCCTTTTGGTGGTCTCATATTTCTTTTCCTTCTCTATTTCGTTAGCCTTGAATTCAAAAACAAAACATGATAAATTATAAATCCAGGATGTCTACTCATCAGAAATCTATTGAGAATATATTGGTTGGCAAAAATCGGTAATTAATTGGAAAAGAAAATTGAAGATTATCTATTTCAATATAATAAACTGTTGTATATTATATTCCACTTATTAAAATTTTATTTTGGTTTATTATTACATGTTTGTGACAATGTTACTTTTGGAAATTATCTTTAAAATGCTTTAAAAAGTCAGAAATTTCAATGATACCATGATAAAAATTGTTTGACACAATGTAAATAACAAAGCCATGGATGTCCAACTTTTTTATAACGTATGCCTAAACTAAAGATTCCTTATATTGAGACCTACCACGACTCTTTTACTCTTCACATTTTATATTCCTCCAACTTTTCAATAATTATTTTAATACTACTTAGGCACTTTTTCTTTAAAATAACTTTTCCTTCTTTGTAAATTTTGATAATATGCCTACATAATAAAAACAAAAAACATTTATAAATAAAATCTCTGTAGAATAGTAAATTGTCTACTATATCAAATATTCCGAGTCTAAAATACTCAGTAGATGTGCCCCTGATTAGGGATATACTGTTCTTGGGGGGAACGGTTCATGGAACGAATTCCACCACGGAAATGGTTCGGAATGGAACAAGATCCGAGGAAACTTCGCATTTAAAGATTTTGCATTTTATTTTATGTTTTTTTTTTTTTAAAGCTGCCTGTAAGTAAAAGTCATGAGAGACATAAATATAGTTTAAACATTTTAAAAGTTAAAAAAATATTAATTTTGATATTTTTTTCTATAATTTTATTTTTAATTAATTTATAAGAAACAGAACTAACAGTCTTGTTAGTGGTAATAAAAATTTCTTGAATGGTTCCACCCGGAACGGTCCTCATTGTCGTATAAAGTATCCTTTTCTAAGAACTTGTTTAATTCAATCATTGCCTTTGATTTTTTTTTTTTTTTTTCAGTTTTTCCCATTTGGGGAATGTTGCTCTCTCGATCTCTCATCTATGTTCAGATACTCCTCTCTGTTTATCTTAATTTTTCTCTATCTCAATGATTTTTCAGTCCTTTTAAATAGTTTTAGTATTACGCATATTTGCTTCATTGTCCTCTATCTCGTTTCAAGTGTTATTTGGAGCAAAGATGGCATGGAACGAGAACTGGAACGAATTCCAGTGGTGGAACATTCCGTCAGAATTGCTCATTCCTACCCTTCATTAGCCTTATAGTATTGGAGAGATAGAAATGTGAAAAAAAGTTGGAGATCTGAATTTAAAAATTCAGCTGATCTGTTATAGACCTTGTATAATATCTTCTTGTTGGCTTCTAGCCCAAAGATTGATAAATCAAGAAGTGAACTACTGATCAGTAGCAATTTGGGTATTGACAAAAAAAGTTACTGCCTATATTTACTCCTTTACCGTGATATTTTCTCTTTTAATCCCTTTTCACTTTCATTTTAATAAAAAGTCGAGATCGAGTGGTTTTATATTTTTTATTGAACTCTTTTACTAACTCAGCTGATTTTTATGCAGGCTTAGACATCAATCTAGCTTTTTATAAAGAAGAAAGAAAGCTATATTAAAATTGTGCCGTGTTTTTAGTTGCTTAGTATATCTTTTCTTTTTTTTTAAGTCCACTAAAATTAGATAAACTCGTATCCCATAGTATTCTGAAACAGTTGTCTTATGACACAATATGACCGTTCTGGTTACTTTTTGGATATTATATTTTGCCATTATTTTTCTTATCTCTATTCTTTGACCAAGTTTTTTTACCTTTTAATAACTGGTCACTTTTACCTTCATAGTTTAAAAAAAATTTACTATCTCTAAAATTACAGTAAAGTTTTTTTAAACACTTTTCCTATTCTTTAGTAGATAATCATGAAATTTGTTTAAAACTATGATTTTTTAACTTAATTGTGATTTCAACTAGGCCTACAGTTCTGGTTGTTGTCCTATTGTTGAGTAATATTAATTTGTTTTATCAATATTGGCTAAAAATCCTTCTATTGCACTTCCTGGTTTAGTGATAAATGTCATCCTTTCTTCTATAAGCAAACTTTTTAAAAAATTAAGCTAAGTTATTGGTAGATTTATTGATTTAAAAAGAAGGCTGATGAAAATTAATTTTATAAAAGTTCTATTATTGGTTGTTGATGAAGCGTATATAGCAGAAAGTGCATTTTTTAAAAATAACTTATTCTTTTATTTTTTAAAATAATTATCCTTTATAATTTGAATTATTGTTCTATTTCAATGATGTATAATAAAATACATTTTCATTTACAGAACAAAGAGATAGAAAAGAAGGTGTCGGTATATCTCCACGTGGCGAAAACTCTCATGGTGACACTGACCTAAGACTTCCTCCAGTCTTGCCACAAAGTATACAGAGTGTAGTCGCCTTGCCATCTGATCAAAGTACTGGGTTCCAGACTCGCCGATGCAGGGATTTTGATGGTGGGTTACCTGTTGTTAATCATTTTAAACTGAAAAGAAATAAATTATCACTGTTTAGAACAGTCATTCTCTTTTTTTTAATTTAAAATTTTTCATTAGAAATCAGTTCCATTTAGTATTATCGTATATCGCTCAAATACCAAAAATGCTTTTTGAAAACAAGTTTTTTTTTTTAGTTGTTTACTCTTGTAGTTATTATTATATAATTTATAAATTGTATGTTTGGCATTATACTTTTATTTTTTTAATTAGAAAGTATTTATATGGAAAAAAAAAATCAAAATTAACATGTTAAAAAAAAAAAAAGAAAGAAAGTATGAAAACAAAAAAAAAAAAAATAGAAAGAAAAAAGAAATATAAAAAAAAAGAAAGAAAAAAATTAATCTATAAAGTTTTAAAAAATTAAATGAAAAAAATATTGACAAAAAAGTTAAAAAAAAAAAAAAAATGAAGGAAGAAAAAGAGAGAAAGAAAAAATATTGAATATAAAAAGTTTATTAACATAATATATTAATAATTAAAAAATGTATTTATTTAAATATTGATTTGTATTAAGCGGATAAATAATTTAATTTTGACTGTGATAATTCTTGATGCTAGTCATTTATTTTTGTATTGAGCGTTGTGTTAGAAATTGTTTCCTTTTTAAATTTTTATTATTATTATTAATGAAAATATAATTATTATATTTGAACATATATGATATATTTGTATCTATATATTTTTTTTACTTACCTGTTTACTTTCACTTATTAAAATATCAGGTCCAGAAAATGAAAATAAGATTATATGAATGAATCTGTAAAGGAATTTTCTTAGCTGGAAATTCATTCGGTTTCCAATATCAAATTGTTATAATGACAATCAAGCTTATGTATGTCATGATAAAATCTGACTTCTACTTGAAAAGTGTTTAACCTTTTTTGAAAACGTATTAAACAAACATTAGTATTCTGGAAATGACTTGGGTATAGAAATAGTAGTGATTTATTTACACATAGGGTTTCATGAAATTTGAAAGATGTTTGATTTTCCTCACTCTGACTGTGATATTATTCCTGCTTATAATGACTAGGATTATAAATGGAAAATTAAATTCATTCATTCCTTTATTTTTTTTTTCCATTGTAATAACAATTAATGAAGATACAAGTAGACCAAAGCTAAGGTTGAAAAAGTCATTTGTATTGAGTCTTACATTAAAATTGCTTTTAAACGTATGGCAACTTTAATAGGAGAGAAGGTATGGAATAAAAATTTTTCCCCAAGACAATACAATATTAAGAATAGCACAAACAATATTTGTTACAAGGAATGAACACAGCAATTCAACTGAACCTGTTTTTACTTTATCAGATTTCTATTTTTGAACTATTTTTTTAGAATATGCCTTCTCAATTGTTTTCATGAGTGATTTAATGAATATTTCAAAAAAAATTAATTATTGTTTTTCCTGGATTTATTTGTTCTCAGTAAACCAGCAAAGGTGGTGGGGGGGGGGCATATTTGTTTATAAAAACTGCCCTGTGACCAAATATTTTAACCAAAAAATTTATCATCAGTAATTTTTTTTCGAAATGGCAAGCTATGCTTTCTTTCACTCTTTTTACCATAGGTTTTTAATTTTTTTCGAATGTTGTTCTTTTCTCAAACCATTTTTTGCCAGTACGTTTTCCTTATCTCACAAGAAACTTTATTTATGATAGTGGATTGATAATTGATTGTCATGGATATATTGAAGAGAAGTTGGTTGGGGTGTCCGATCAAACAAAGACTGAAATAAAGATTATTTCTTTGTTTTACCAAACACCCCAACCAACTTCTCTTTAATTTGATTTAATTTTTTTTTCTAAATTCAACTTCCTCGGCACTACGGTAGATGGAACAGATGACAGCTACATTCCAGTCCTCAGTGATCTTTTTTTTCTGACTAAATATCATATACGAGCTGCTGATCTTCTTTGCTTCCTTCCTCTTGTCCTATGCCTTATCACATTCTTTTAAGTTTTGTTCTGCATTTCTCATCGAGCCAGTTGTTTCTTGCTGATCTAGTTTTTCACCTAGCTCCTCCATTGCTGCACTATTTAAGACTCCTTTCAGATGTGTCCATCTTGAGGTGGCATCGTTTTCTCTCCCTTCACTTCCAAGTAGCTCAGACACTCTTGAGACAAAATCTTTGCCTTGTATCTTCGTCATTTAGCCGTTCCACATCAAAGCAGTGCGGAGGCTGCTCGGCTCTTTCGTGGGCCTTCAGCACAATTTGTTGCTTATATTTTATTTTAATAGATGGGAGTGTGATCCACACACTGCTCCTATACAGCTTCGCACATCTTCAATATCCGTGGCATGTCTTTACTGTATGAAGGCATGATCTGTTTGACTTCTCATCCTACCATCTGATGATATCCATGCATCCTTATAAATATCTTTGTGCTGGAAGCGTGTAATCCCCCATGATAAAGTCTACTAAGTTGCAACCATTATCATCATTCCATGTGTTGGCTGTGTAGCCCTTTCAAGGGTCTGAAATATTCTTATTTACCTTTATTCACATTAAAGTCTCTAAGAATAAGTTTTATATAATAGGCAGGCAAAGTATCATAAGTTCTTTTTAGGTTTTCATAAAATGCGTCCTTCGTTTTGTCATCTACATCTTCCATAGGTGCTTGCACACTAACCTTAGAAATATTTAAAAACAGTCCTCTTCGTCTTATTGCACAGATATGTTGATGAAGTTTTATTTCAGCTGGGAATGTTTTAGCTTATCACTTATCATAAACCTTGTTCCAATTTGGTTTCATTTATGCCCTCTGTTTATAAGAAGATAGTCCTTCAGGCTAACCAGTCCATTATCCTTCCAACGGATACCTGAGTGTTGCTATATCTATATCTATTTTATACCTTCAAAGTTCTTCCTCAAGACTCCTACTCATTCTGATCTGCAGAAAGCTTCTCACATTCCATGTTCCTAAAGTCATGTGTTTTCCCAGTCCATGGCTGGATCATACCATTAAATCATTCCAGTTATTTCTTCGTGTAAGATTTGTAATAATGTTTTGCAGGTTGGGATTTTAGCCCAACCCCCAACCTGGAGGACCAGGATATTTGTGATTTCTCTTCTTCTAGACATGTTCTCTCTTTACTGTGAAGTCACATCCATCCTGGAGATATTTCATTTCTTCAGTACCACCCGTATCTGGAAGACATTCCCTTATCCGCCACCTGGGAATGTGCCCGATGGAGGACTAGCAACTCCACATGGGTCACACGTGATTAATAATATTTATTGATAAGAAATAAACATTTGCGCATATATTTGAGAAAGTAGTGAATAAAATCTACTGAATAATTTTTTTATTAATCAAATTTTTCTAAATTTGAACCAAATCACACTAGCCATTTTTTAAATATAGGCATGTCTAATAAAATATATAAGAAGTCTATGGAGTAAATAAAATTGATTTGGAACTATCTACGTATCAACCCACAATCTGAAAATTTCATGAAATTCAGAATAATGGTTGATAGGTGATATGCCTGTCTCATGGTTTTTACTACAGACATCTAATCAAATTTGTTCCTTGATGTCTTGATCATTTTGCACATGGCAGTGGAAATTTTTAATTCTGAGAATAATTTTTTTTTAACCTCCCACAAGAATACAAAATTTTCCTTTCTTTAGTAGTAGAAGAAGAAAAAGTTGATTAACTCTCAATCAAGCCATACAAATCTTAACACGTTCTGTCACAACTCATCTATGAGAGTAAAAATTAAAGTTTTGTTTAGACTTAATAGAAAATCAACAAACTTAATTTAAAAATGTTTATATTTGTATTTTAAAATAACATCATTGCATAATTATATTAATAATTAGAGTAAAAAGAGGGCATTAATTATACAGATTGAATGCATGCTCCAAATTTACTTCAGAAACATTCACTGGCCAGTTGTGGAGTAAGTTTCAGCTCATTTATCTCTCCATTATTGCTGTTTGTTTCTTTATCACATATGTCCCTTTGATTTCTGAATTGATACCAACGATATTCATTTGGGTAAAGATGACCATTAGGTAGCGCTACCTTTGCTTGTTTCTTGCTACATTGCAGATTACTCTCTACTTTCTTGCCTATATCAACTTCTTATTTCGTAGCATTGAATACTAAAGTGATTTCTGGTTTCCCTGTTTCTATAGCAATTTCAATAAAATTTAGGAAATCAAATATACTTACATAATCAGATACATCTCATCCAAGACATAAAATATACCCTTTAATATCAACAAAAAAATTTGTATCCTAACAAAGTGTAAAGGATGGGGACTTAAGAATAAGCTACGGTAGCTCCTACTTATTTTAGACTAGGTGCTTCTGATCGAAGGTAAAAATGTACTATAATCACCTCTCCTAATATTGTTTTCTACTGTATTAGAAATTGTAATTAAGGAAATTTAAGTGATGATCATAATTAGTAGTAAGCCTCACAATAAGAATATTGTAGAAACTTTTATTTTTTGTTTACTCTAGAAGAAGATTGTAAATTATGAAATTGGACATGCAAAAACAAAATTAGAATATGGAGAAAAAAGAATAGTAAAATAAATGCATAATGAAGTTATAATGTATTTAGATAGGTATTTTCACCAAAATGCATCTACTCTTATAAGTTTTTCACTGAAATGTGGATGCACTTAATTCAAAACACTGGGATTATGTTGATCAATTATAAATTAAAAATGAATTTCTATTTAAGAAGGAGATTAAACGTCTTTCTAAATATTAAAAAACATTGGCAGTAATACTCATTTAATGAACCAATTATTGGCAGATAATCAACATTGATTTAATCGGAAGCAATCAATTATTGGTGAAATATTCAATCTACAAGAAAAATCAGAAAGTCAATACAAATAAAAGGTTATAGCTTATGAGTAGTACACTGTTGGAAATTAAATTATGTTGAGATAAAGTTTGGATTTATCAAATACATTGATTTTTCCAATT